TATTCACAAATCCCCATTTCCTCCCATCTGAGGTCCTGCCTTAGTGGCCTCCATTTGGCCTTCTATCCCCACAGCCCTTCTTCTGTGTTATCCCTTGATTCATTGGACCTGTTTCACAAATCCCCAGAAAACCAGCTCTATCTGCTACTCTGTGTCTACTGTGCTACTCTACCTCGTCCCTGTTTACGACCTATGGAGAGTTTCTATGCTCTTCCCCTCCATCTTCCCATATCTTTCTCAACTGGCTTCAGATAAGTGCCCTCTCCCTTTTCCTCCCTCAGTATCTATATGTTATATAGCATTTTTTGTGCCTCAGTTTCTCTGTTGGTAAAACGGGGGAAATTAGAGCACTTATCACAGAGAATTTGAGGGAGAATTGAACCTAACGGTTCATGAACCTAAAGAGCTTAGGATAGTGTCTGGCCATAGAAGCAAGCACTTAATACATAAATGAAAAAGAATAATAAGTGAAATAAATGAAACTGGATCCCTCTGGTTGAGAGGAGTGTGGGAAGGTGAAACCTTCACTTTTTGACCACGTCCTTTCCCTCCCTACATGCTCGGAAGGTTCAGATTTTCTGGGCTCCACACTCACAATTTGGAAACCACTAGTCTTTTTCATACGTATCGGGGACTTTGTCTTATTTAAGTTCATGCTTTTATTACCTGCTTTTATTTATCTCCAAAAATTTCATGTGCATGTTTTGTTTCACCAAGAAGGTAGTAAACTTCTGAACTGTTAAAACACCAGGCACCATAAATGGGTGAATGAAAGTCTAAAACATGTTAATATTTTTTATAGGTTTGACTAAAAGACCTACGATCGACCATTTGTCAATGTTAGTCAGGAACTCACTCCGTAGAATGTGGCCATCCTTGTTATTTGCTTATTGCTTTTGGGGATAAGGGTCGTTTCATTGGCCATCTGACTCCTTTGCTCAAATCTGTCACCATTTCTGTCTGCTGTGGACTGAGACTCACTGCAGAAAAGATGCATCTACAGAGCTGTACTATCTATTACCTTTGATTTGTCACTTCTCCACTTTGGCTGCTTACTTAGAGTTTCTGGGTCCATCTCCTTGGAGTTTTAGGGAGATGAACATTTTCCTTCCTCTTTGAGTTCCTGGTACCCTTTAAAAGTGCTCCTGCCCTGCTACTTAGCAGTGGTGGGTGATAATCTACAGAAAGAGTCTTATGTAGTCACTGCATTGGGTCTCAGCCTTAGTTCCAGGGTGTCCTAATCTATACGACAGTTTTGTACGAGTGGGAAAGGGTACTCTCTAGTTAGATGTAGCCCTAGAGGTGCACGCCTTAGTAAGTGGGTCGTAGACCAACTTTCAGCAGTGCACAGGCATCCCACGTTGTTCCACTGGCATTTATAAGTGGTTCCTCCAAGTCCGTTTCCTAAATGGTAAGTAGAACCTTTATTTCACAAAATGTGCTTCTCTTTGTGATGTGGGTTTTTTTAAAATTCTTCCAAATATGAATCACAATGACCTAATAATGAATTCTTTTTCTCATTTGAATTTTATTAAAAATTGTATTCTCTTCCAAAGGCTATAATGCTGGCTACTACAATGATGATTCATTAGCTGAAAACATGATCAAAGATCAGGACCTTGCTTCTTACAAACACTTTGGGCATTTCTATCCTGGCTCTGCTGAAGAGAGTCAATCAGTCAAAGTAATGGGAATAATTTTCAAAATATTGCCTTCTGACCCAGGAAATGCACAGGGCAGTACAATGCTTCAAAGAATTATTTTCTTTGTTTTTTTCAAAGAGAGTAGGAGGTGGGAGAAAGAGAAAGGAGTGTGTATGTGTGTGGAGAGAGAGAGAGAGAGAGAGAGAGAGAGAATAATGAAAATGTGACAACATGTTAATAATCAGTAAATCCAGGAGGAAGGAATAAAAGCGGTTAATTTACTAGCCTTTCAAATGAGTTTTCAAAACGAAAAGTAAGTGTGTATGGATATAGAGAGAGAGAGAGAGAGAGAGAGAGAGAGAGATTGAGAGAGAGAGAGAGAGAGAGAGAATAAACCACCTGGGAAAGAAAAGTAAAATAAGATGGGGTCCAGAGGGGCAGCTGGGGCCTTGGAGGAAAATAGAATCTTTAAATGTATTCTTGCCAGAGACAAAAGCACAGGCTCATTTAAAAAACAAAGGAGGGCAGCTTTATTCTAAAGCCTGCTGTGCACCAAATATAGGTACTTAGATTCAATTCTCCACACTGAGAGGAAGCAATTTACCAGGGTAGAAACGATTCAGTGAATGCGTTTGCCTCACTTTCTCCTGCCCACCTTAACTATTACCGGCCCAAATAATTCCTCTGAGTAACACATTGGGAACCTTTAGCTCCCTGGTACTGGCAGTTTTAATGTGTCCATTGCCAGCAATGAATTTTGTGCCAAGAAAACCCGACTCCTGGCGGTGGAAGGATTAAACAGTCCTCGAGTGCCATCTGTGCAGTGAAGGAAAAGAGTGACTTTGTGCACCCAGTGTGCGTGTGTTGCCATTGGCAGTAAGAAGTGACTTCTGTTTACATGACTACCTCACGCAGCGAACACCTAAGGAGAGAGATGAAAACGGCCACCTCAGTGTAGAGTTGAGGAAGAGGGCGCACGAATGGGGAGCCCGTGAGAAAGTCTGGAAAACGACGCAGGTTGAAATAGCAGATTAAAACCAATTATCCTTTAAGGGAAGGTCTGGTGGAAGAGGAAACACCCTGTTGGCTGATGTTCACCTGGTGAAGTAGGATAGGTGCTATGGACTTTCTTAGATGTCAGGATTTGGACTTGACCCTGTGCTTCTAGACTTTGCAATATGGAATAATTTAAATGAACTTTTGATTCATCGTTCACCAGATTCTAGAGTCAAGGTTAGGGTCCCAGGCAGTATACCTTTGATGTTCCAGGAATTTTTAGCACATTTGGGATATCTGAGAAAGGCTTTTGGCAATTCATCAAATATAGTGTACCACAGGAGAGATGGTTCAAATTTAAACCTCCTGGTCAGGTCATTGACAAGAAAATTCCAGAGAATTTTGTAAAATGAGAGAAGCGATGGAGACCATACAGTTTTTTTATTATAATGTTCCCCTTCAAAAAGTTTTAAAATTAAATCAGAGAAGGTTTTAAGGTTTATACTGGGTAATCCAAAGAATACAATGTTGAGTAAAGCCTTGAATAGCTAATAATACTGCAGAAGGGAAATTTGAGGAGAAACCAATTATGAGTTCAAGAGGGATAGATGGAGGATTAAAGACATACAAGGAAAATCTCATGGGATTCGAAAGGGGATAATACTTCCCTCGAAGAGCAGTATGAGTTCCCCTATGGATGCAGATGGAGACGAAACGACATTCCAGGCAGAGGGGAAAGAGGACAGAGGCACAAAAGGGAAAGGCTCAGAAATATTCAGGTAAACTGGGCCGTTGTAAGAAGGGTGTTGAACACCTGGTGAAAGAGTAAGGACTGGAGTCAGTCGAGTACACAGGAAAGATCTATTAAAGCGTTATGGGTGGGAGTTAATCTCACAGCTCCGTGGGGTATAAACTGGAATGTAGAAGGACAAGCTAAGGAGAAATCAATTGAGTTATTATAAAAGGGGAGATAGTCATGTGAGAGCAAGGATGTGGTTATGAAGAAGGGCAAGGATGTCTGAAGCAGCTTGCGGAAGAGAAGGAATGGGAAGCATTAAGTCCAAAGTACCATGTGAGACAATTAGCAGAAATGAGGACAACCTGATTATGGGACTGCTTTGTAGTGAAAGATGATTTGTGCATGTCACTTTATAGGTTGTTAGTTTTTTTTAAATTTTGACTGAAAAACAAAGATGAAAACACACGCGCAGGCATGAACACAGATTCACATCCTTCTCTACCCTTCCCCCGACCAGGCTTGCCAGAAAAAGCTGAAAGATATAGAACTAAACTGTCTATACTTATGTTGTAAAACTAGAAACTTTGAGTTTTATTGTGTTTTGATCAAATGACTTTAGAATCCATAGTAATGATAACATCTTACAATAATGTATAAATATTGCTCAGAGAAATGTATTAATATGAAGCCCACGTCTTGAGAGCTGTGGAGCAGATAAAGGAAAATTGTTCTCTTAAATTATTCTTGCTTTTGTTTTCCTTTCTTTTTGATTTGCTGTCCCAGGAAGAGTTTGAATTTCCTTTGAAGCATGTAAACATCAGATGATTTGCCTTGTCATCTGTAAGTTTAAGGGTTTTCAACTATCATGACAGGATCAGGAATCTTTCGTATGGACCAAAGTGCTAGAAGAGTCCTTAGTACTTAGTCTAGCACGTATGGAGGCATCAATGTGGCTCTGGCTTTGCATTGGCATCCACACTAGCACATGGGGCTGCCACCGATAGTTGCACCCATAACATATTTCAAATACTATAGCCCATCTGCAGAGAAACCTGCCCACTGGTTCTCCCATCAGGCAACCAGCCTGTTGCATGCTATTGAGTAATTAGGGTTCAATGGCTTTTCAGAGTACCGCCCAACTGTAATTACTCCTCACCTGCTTTACTCAAATCTTGTGTGAAAAAAAAAAAAAAACAACTGTACATATTTGTCTGTGAATAAGAAAATTATAGCCTTGTACATACATCTTAATTATGATAATTCCATAAGAAATTCTAATATACAGCTAAAGGTTTAGAATCTTCTGCGCTCTAAAGGAATATGCTGAATTTGACATGTTTTCTAAACTGAAATTTTTATAATTAAACTAATTATCTGGTGTTGCTTTGTATTTCCAAATGAATGCATATTGTGACCTATATAGCATACGATAAAGACTGTAATTATGCAGAATATAGTAGGGGAAGCTACTGGAGTATCTTTAAACCACCTGTGTTATTTCTTTTTAACAAGAATTTTGTTGGAAATAAAAAAAATATATTTTCTAGAATAGATACATTTTAAAATGTTCTTAAACCACTTATAAATAGGTTTAAAAATGGATCTGGTTCCTCATCTCTTACCTTGTAATGGTCAAGGTTGTCTTCTGCAGTTGGGAGACCCATGTAACGTTCTGTGTACACCGAGTCTATGTTGGAGAAAAGAAAAAGTGTTAATTCATACAACAAGAATTTTCTTCCTTTTATTGGGTTATTTTATGTGCTTGGGTATGTCTTAGCTTGCATGTAAGTTTATATTGTTACCCTCAGAAGTATCTCATCCAGATCATTTTTTATTTGGCTTGTTAATGTGGCCAGACACCTACTCAGACTCCTGCCTTTGCTCACTCTGCCCTAGCCCATTCCCACGTAGCCCTTATGATGAGGGCAGAAAGAGATCAAACTAGATGATCTAAAACCCAGTCAACAATTCACCTGCAGAAAAGTCAAATGTGAAGTGCTAAGACGTAAGAACTCTTTACACTATCATCTGACTTTCTCGAGGAATCTTAATTAGGAAGTCACTTAATGCCTCAATTGTCTTGAATTTTTTGGTCCTGACACAGAATATGCTCTAATTTATGATATACTATTTCCTTTTGGTAATCTCTAATAATGTTCAATTACTAGTTGCATACTTAAATGATATTTTTTGGCAGTTTGAAATTCACTATACTAAAAAGAAAATTCAGTTATCATTTATTTGTTGCATAACCCCATATTGGCTCAAATACTCTATCATAATTCAAGGTAAACATTTGTTTTCTCTCGTTTTGTGGAAAGGCCTCAATTTTGGTGTTATGACAGTTGAGTGTTATGAAACAAATTACATTAATATCTGCAGATTTTAATATCTATGTTAATATCTATCTATCTGAAATGACCTAAGCTCTTTTATCTATATGTGGCAGAGAAACATATATATTATTGATTTGCTTATTTTGAATAATTAAACATAATTTTGTCCTATTTTTAAAAGTGAAATCATGTATCGTATATATCATATGTATATCACATCTAAATCATCTATATCATATGCATCATTTTATATACATATCCTAAAATATCAGTGAGAAAATTTACTGTGGCTGAAGTCTAATGTAACTTTAAAAATCTGAAATAACTTTTGAAAGATGCCTTCTTAAATGACAGATTACAGTGAATAAATAAATATAAGAGTAATATGTTGCCATTGTGCTACACAGGTTAACAGCTTGAATTTCACTGTAATCGTACAGGTATTTCAGTACTTATCTCATTAATTCTTTAAATGAATAGATCATCTAAACCACAACCTTCAGCAGCATTCTCAGCCTTTTTGTGTGACTGGCACTGTAGACTAAAAACTACATCGATAATGAGTGTTAGTTGTTTCACATGTATTCTTTGACATACCATTTCTATGGAAATCAAAATATTTTCCTCCAAAATTAGAGAGCGCAATATTTTATCATTTTGATTACAATGAATACAGACTATATATAATTTTACATACCTAGAGGACACTAAAATAGAAAATACAAAATTTAAAGAACATTTTAAAATATAAGATCTTCATAAAATGCTCATATCTTTTAACATTTAAATGTGAATAACTTATGTTGTACATTTGCTGGAGGGAAAATGTCCATTAAGTACAAAACAAATTTTTCTTCAAACAGTCACAAGCTTCAGTTCTTGTTCTAGAATATAATACCCCTTTCTTATTATGTTAACCGGGTTTACATATGTAAGAAGATCTGAAATTTTAAAAATAGTATTTAAAAATGCATAACGCAGTTGTAAACTTTGAGTAATACGCCTTGAAATACCATTTGTGTATTCCTTCTATATGATCTTTCTGTAAAATTGTTCAAATTTACAATTCTAGAAAGTTCCTATGTGTTAGGTTGGTCCATGTATATCTAATGAAGTTCTCTTCTTATCATCACATATTTCTAAACTCACGAAGATTGTTTCTATTATTTTATTGACCACCAGAGGTCTCCAAAAACAGGCCATCCAATAGAACAATTACTATGAAGCAGAAGAGTGTTAAATGAAAACAAATCCATTGTGCAAGTATCAAATCCCAACTATGTTCTCCAATTTTTTTTTTTTGACAGCAAGATAGCAATGCATATTTTACATTGGCTTCTCTTGACTTGGAGAGGTTTAAAAAAGCGTTTTCCACAAGATTGGTACTACCATATGTTAGGACATAAAATATTTAATGAGCATGTTCATTATCAACGATTCTGTCCTTATACTATATAAAGGACTTGAGTCAGAAGAGACACAGAAAAAAATTCATCTCCTCACCACCTCTGGCTTCTCCCCTACCTATGTTGCACTGCTCACTCTCTTCCCCTTGTGAATTATAGTCTTACTTGTGTATGATGCCTTATAGAATAATATTTTCTCAATGATGAAGAGGATAATCTAGAATGGCTTTCACTTACTTGGAGATGATGACAAAAAATAAAACCCCCAGAAATTCCTCGGTCCCTACTTTCCTCTTTCCACCCAAAGCCCTACTTATACTAGATCTTTACCAGAAGAGAGATACATGCTTCTTTTATTCTGCTAATAAGTGAAACCCATACTCAAGTTAGAATACAGATAAGAAAGTGTTTTTCTGCAGAAATGTAGCATTTGAGATGTTCTGAAATTTGGAAAACAATTTGTTTATAAGATTTATTGATAAGAAATTGAGAAAACAATTTGTTCATAACTGCGTAGGTAACATATAATACCATCCATCCTCTTACAATAGCAGAATAAGTGAGATCATTTCATTATAGGTATCCAGAATGTACCTGTAAGATAAATCAGCTTATTCACTGTTTGAAACACTGAAACCCAAAAAGAAATAGTTTTGTCATTGGAGTTTTAAGGTCAGCGCTCAGTATCTCTTTGTACCTGATAGCAATTACATACCATAGAACTCCCATGATGACACAGGTGCCACAGCTATTCCACACTTGAATATACCACTTCCTGCTCCCAGGACCATCGAGGTTACATACCCTCCATATGACTATGGAATAGAAACAGTTATTTTTATGGAGGTAAAAGAATTAAGGACATATGGTAAGCGAGTCGCAGTTTCCACATTTCTCACATCTTTATATACTATGCCTCTTTAGAGATGAAAAGCATGGTAGAGGAGGCTTAAATTGTCCTTAATTGGACAGTATCTAAAGACTGCATTTTCAGAGCTCTAGTCCCTTTTCTTGGTAGGTGTGAGGGGAAAAGCATCAAAGTTGCTGGGTAGTAGCAATTAAAGAAAAAATAAAAACAATAAACACTAACGCTTCACTGACTTCGACTCATGAGAAAACCCCACCCCCTTCCTCTTTTCCTCACTTCTTCCCTCTCTCCCTCCCTTGTCATAACAGAGGTGTGAGCCTGAACTCATAGGGATTCATTGCTCAGCGATCTAAGACATTTTATTTGGACCTTCTCAGATTAAAATGATAGATATGATTTTCATCTCCAAATATTTACACGCGAAAAATATATTATCCTGCTCTGGGTTGTATTTACTAAGAAATGCTTATAGATTCATCAGCCAAACAACTACTCACCCAGCCCCAAATTGCAATTCTTTTGTCATCCACAAATCCCATTTTTAAAAATTGTCTAAAATACATAGAAAAAGTCCATGAATTAGTATTACGCTGTGTATAGAAAACTAAGATAAATGCACAAATGTGAAACCCTGCCATTTGTTCTTTATTTATTCTTTTATTGTTTTTCATTTATTCTATTAGAAACTAAGATATAATACTTCCAGCAATCAAATAAACATCTGAGATTAATGTCTTTCATTTTTAACTTAAGAGTCAGATAAACAAAGTTTACTTTCATTGGAGTCCATAAAAATTTTGTCTGTGTGTGTGTGTGTCTGTGTGTGTCTGTGTTTGTGCGTGTGTTTCACAGAAAACAAATCCTGGCAGTTTTTTTTCACAGCTTTATATAAAAATTTGCAGCCCAGATGCACTTTTCTTTACATAATTGAATTTAAATCTCTCCAGATGTTTTTCAGTTTGAGAGAGGCTGCCCCTACCATGGAGAAATATAGGGGCATGGAGAACATCTGTGTAGGGCTTGGAAATGTATCCAAGCCTCCCACCTGAGAACTTAAACACCATTCTCTAAATAAATCCCTTTTTATGCTGGGTGTTGATTAGTTAGCTCAGCACCATTATATAAGAACTTTTTCCTTGATGGATTAAGAACTCTTTTTGATGCAAAATTGTGTTCAGTATTGGAATCTAAGTAAAGAAAGGAGAAAAATGTTTTATGTACCTGTTTTTTAGTCTTAGCCTTACATCAAAAGGTGATTTATTTACTTTTTAAAAATGTAGCAAATGTGACTCTTAACTTTGTATTGAGGGACGTGGGAAATCCTCACATTGACCTATATGTGACTTTGAGAATCTGTGTTTTCATTTGATATGTCTTAGGCTGCCCTGAGTTAAGCAATATTAGTTAAGTGATATTATTAAAAAGTATAAAGTAGTTTTTAACTCATCTTTCCATGTAAACTTTTAACATTTAGAATACACATGTACACAAATGTGCAATAAGACGTAAGTGTGTAAGTTGATAAATCTTTACAAAGTGAGCATGTCCTTGAACAAAGATATAGTGTATTACTATCATCTGAGACATTTCTCCTTTTGCAAAAGAAAAAAAAATGAAATATTTTCCTTTTATTGGATACTATAAAAATTTCACCTGAATTTGTGCCATGGTTTTGAACTTTATATAAGTTGGGTCATGGAGAATACATACTTTTGTGCCTAGCTTCTCATTCAGTAGTCTGTGGTTGTCTATATGGTTGTGTATAGTTCTTTTTAGTTGTTGAAATACTATTCTATTGTGTAAACACATCACATCTCACTTTTTTAACTGAAGTTGGACATTGTGGACACTCAATTCTGTAATTTTAGGGCTTGTGTTGGTCAGATGTGAGAGGCTCTGGAAACTATGCTCTCTCTCACAGAGGACTGATCTGGATAAATAAAAATTTTATTTTTAAAATATTACAGCCTTACTCCTCAACAAATTTGTCCTCTCTCTAATCTAAACCTCTCTTTTTTAGTTTTAAGAAAAATAGTTAATTGTTAACTTTAGTATAAAAGACTCAGGAGGGATACTCAATAAATTACCATCTTCTCTTCAGTTGATCCTTTTCTTAAAGACATTTTCCTCCACCCATTTTCAGCATTTCCTGGTTTATGGTTTCACAACATTATTTTAAATCACCTACTTATTATGCTTCCACAGACATCCATGCACTTGGCTATAGAAACTCAGAGATTACATTTCTCATTTATCAGTTGAATGCAATTGAATGTAAGAATTGGAGTGAGACCTGGATTCAAATCCTGACTGACCTTGGCAAATTACCTAACCTAGGAACTCCCATTTCTTTACCTGAAATATGGGATAAGAACATCCACCTCCCTGGGTTGCCGTGCAGCTTCAATGACAATTCAGGTAAAACATTTCCCATGTTACATGCACATAACGGTGTAATCATCTTTTATAATTAAAATTTCTCTTAAGTCAGATCACATCTATCTGTAGTCCCATAACTGGAGAGCACAAGAATGAGTGTGATTCATACTTTACGAAGCTCTTATAATTTGAACAATGAAGGTTGCACTCCACAATTTCCCCAGAATTAGATGAGGAATAACCCTCATCCAGCTGACCATAGGAGCCACTCCTAGGACTTCATGCCTTCACCCTGCTCCGGTGTAAATGGACACTGAACTCCTCTACTTATCCCTGACTGTTGGGACAGTTTGCTTCTTTAGTTAGATGTTTGCTCAGGGGTACATTTACCCTAAGTTTGTCCATGTGTTTGATGAATTTTCAAGTTTCTGTTCCTTGAAGGTGTTATAGCACATATGTAAATTCCTTTTCTAGAGTCACATAGAGAGAGGGATTTAGGAAATATCTTTTTTAGCTTTATATAAATCTATGATGACATATATTTTTATCTAAACACACACAAATACGCTCCAAGGATGAAAGATTACAAATATATCTCAGGATACTTTAAATTCTTTACACTTTGAGAATTTAAAATATAAATTTAAGGGGGAAAATCTGATGTCCTTTGAATTCATCTCCTAATCACTCACCTGGCTGCTTCAATTTGATCTTCAACTTCAAGTGTTCCCAGTCGTCTGTTGATTGCGTGCATGATCTTATCTCCTTGGTAACCACTTCCTCTGCCGTCAAAGCTAGCTACTATAATGTTTTCCGTGCTTGCAAGGTAAGTAGCCCAGTTGAGTGTGAAGGTGGCATCTGCTTTTTGACTACAGGGCCCTGCATACCTGTGAAAAAACCCAAACCGTTGGCCTGTGTGGTTTTCCTGAATCAAATGAGGATCTCCTGTATTTCTATTCCCTGTGGATGAGAAGTGTGCATCTTTTCCAGATCTCGAGCCTGAAATCGTGCCAGCAGCCGAGGTGTCCACCATGGGTCGTCTTTACTTGGCAACATGATTATAAATGGCTGTGCATTTTATTCAAAGATGTCCATCAGTTTAATCTTTGAAGATGGTTATCAAACACAGACTTCGTAGGCCAACATTTTCTAAGTTGTATATATCTTAGAAATCAAAAAAAAAAATTCTCTAATAGTTGGGAGAGGGAGTTGTGTTATGAAAAAATAATGAGGATGACAGCAAATGCAGCTTTGAAGTTATCTTTCCATCTCAGCTTACAAACACTCCTAGACGAGTGTATTTCCTGGGTTGGGACTTCTTGAAGGACCTGTATGATATGCATCCCATCTCCCCCAGGACCCAACACCATGTTGCACACCATGGCCCCACAAATCATTGTGGAGTGGGCCAAAGTATGAATGAACACGATTCCTTAAAACTTCAAAGGAGAAATAGACTGTCTTGGAAAATGGGCACATCGTTTGGCATTCTATTTATTAACAACTTTAACTCCCTGTATCTGTGATCTTCACAATCTATATCCTACCTCCCATACAGCGGTATGCACAGTCTCTCTCAGGCCCTCTCATTTTCTTTTGTTAACCAAGAGAAGCTCCCTCTAGCTCACTGCATCTCATTTCAATATGTTGCCTTTGCACCATCTACAGGACTCCTGGTCCCAGATCTTCTCCAGCAACATATCCCTCCCCAGCCCATCTCTCCTACTCAGCTGCTCACTGTCCCCTCCACAGGATGGGACAAGTCCTGCTTGCCTGTTTTTGCTAACATTTTCCTCCATATACTTAGGAATGGTAGTCAAAAGAACTTTAGTTTTAAACAAATTATGGTATTAATTTTAAACTAAATATTGTCATATTCTAACTTTAAAAAGAAGGATGCAGTCATGCATTTCTTGGGCATGTAAACATTTTTTCTTAACAGCATGTGAAATACCCTGGTCCTTTTAATGATATTAAATTTGGTAAAGTAATAGCTTCCCTCAATAGTGGTTAACATAACATTAAACATTATTTTTAAAAATATAAAACAAAGATTTAGACATCTTAGGACATAAAGAGGAAAATCACTGAAAAGAAATGGGCACTAAATTTACTATGTGTGAGTTTTTTAATTTTCCTAATGAAGGGGAGGCCTAATCATTACTTATTGGGGAGTCAAAGAGGATAAAAATATCACTTTTTCCTAAGAGATCCTTTCTTTAGGATTGGGGCTAAAGCCTAAAGCCAATTAGTGTCACTAAAGTCAAAACGAGGCATAATGAAAATCAAATAGCACAACTAGAAGTTGAAAATACCTCTTTCTCTTTGAGCTTTTATATTTTGTTTATAAGGAACTGGAAATACACTGAAACAAGGCCGTGTCTGATGCTGATATTTGTGCCCCTCCTCCTCCTCCACTTCCATCTCCTTTTTTTTTTCTAGTAACAACAGAAAAGTGATGTCCCTGAGCTTGAGATTCAGTTTTCTCTTCCGTATAATGGGTCCAAGAGAACTTGCCACATAAGTTTGCTGTGTGTACGAAATTACCTGGCACGCAGCAGGCACCCAGCACATATGTTGTTTTGTTTTGTTTTTAATAAAGGAAATGAGTCAAGCTAGGACAGGAAGACTAGAATTGTGGCATTATGGGTAAGGTCAGCACAATTTTAGAAGGATTAAAGTTAAACGTATTCCTAATAATTATCGAAGATATTTTATAAAGCTGCCGTATTTAGAATTCACATGAATTCACAGTTACTGCTCAAACACTTGTGATTTCAGAACTTTCTCTAAGACTTGAAGAAGTTTGGATTATAATGAATACTTTCCTATATCACATATGTTCTCTTCACCAAAAAGGGGAATGGAAAATACCAGGCAGTGATATTTCAGGAACTAAAGAAAGAGAAACCTGATGTCCTAATGAATCAAAGGCAGTTATGGGAGATGTTTGGCTACGTTTGGGGGTAAGGAAACTGTAAAGGCTATTAATACCCATCTCTTGCTCATTAAAATGTCCATGATGAAAGGATGAAGATGGGGACTTGAGAATTCCTTTGGAATTCTCTTGGAGTTCAGAGAAACAAATCAAAACAAAACCCATGTGCCATTAGAAAGAAGGTAGAAAACACAGGTTTGGGTTTGTGATTACAAAATGAAGGGAAGAAATAGTAAAATTGCTTCACAGTGATTCAGGAAAACAGTAAGGATGCACTTGGCTCTATTTTTCAGTAAGCTACACTGGGAAAAAAAAATGTATGATAGTTAACTTCTAAATTATTCCCTCCTCTTGAATACTTACACTTCTATTAGTAGCGGATATTTCTTGGATTTATCAAAATGAGGAGGCAAGATCATCTGATACCAAAATTCTAAACAAACAGAAAGATTAATTAGTGAATTAAGAACAATTATTAGCACATGATTTTGTCTCCTTATCTGTCAGTGATAAGTCAGATCTAGAATTAAACAATTTGTTAAATTAGTTATAGAAGAAGAAAATGAACTGCTTGGATTGAGCATGTATTTAAGAAATACAAACATTCTCTTATACTAGCTCAGATTAGAACAATAAATTTGTTTTTAATGTATCTATTAAATACATTGATGCCTTGCAAAATAAAAGTGCATTTTAGAATTGCTAATGTTTTGTTTTTATCATTCTGTTCTTTGGCATCTGATCTACTTATCTAGTTTGTTTATGGCTTATGTTCTAAGTTTCCCTCCAAAATGTTTTCCTCTTCTTGAATTTCCTTGAAGATGTTTAGGATTTTTAGTTGGCCCCAGCTCTATTTTAAAATTCTGATTTAATAACATTTTTGTAATTTCAATCGCCATCTCAGACCGCAAAGCTGAGTCCCCATTCAGCTGTGTGTTTCACAGAATGAAGTCAGGTTTACAGAGCAAACTGCTACGTACATTCTACATGACCTTCTGCAGATCTGTTTAATTCCTTATGCTTGATTTAACATCAGTTTAATAAAATTTGTTCCTAAATAATGAATCAGTTTCCTTTGCTCCCAAATTCAGGATGATGAGCTAGACTAATAAATACAAAAGAGAGAGAGAAAAAAAGAGTTGTTCCATATTTTAATAAGATTATTTCCAGCTTCGGTAAATTTAACCAGTAAGGGAAAAATTCCCTATCTTTAGGGCTGTTTCTTCCTTACGTTTATCTTTGTTTTCTTTTTTGTTACAATATTTTAGCTGAGAAAAAAAGAAAGGTTTAGGAGTAATATAGATTTCTCTTTAATTGTATTGTACTGATTGCTTTATGCCTTCTAATTAAATGTGCTTACAAGAACAAAAATTTTAATCTCTTATTTTTCGAACTATCAGTCGATCATAATGTTTTTAATGAAAATGCAAAATGTACCATTTGATCTCTGTTTTGTTTGGATTAGTACTAGCTGATTGGAAGTTTTAGGTCCACATTTTTTGAAGATGCACTGTCTTTTCTTTGAGGGGAGTGCTTCTAATCCCCAGCCCAATCTTCCTTTGCTCCCTTCTCCCAGACTCCTCCTCCAGCCCTCCTTTGCTGGCATTTGAATAGTGCAACCACCTCCTAGCTGAGCCCTGTCCCTCTGGCAGCTTCATCCTTCACTTTTTATTGGGTTATCCATCCAGTCCTGTGAGTGCCCTGACCCTAAAACCTGTGGAGCTCCCCACTGTTTACCAACTGAAATAGAACGTCACATCTCAGTGTTCAGTGCCTTCTGCACCAGGCAGTCTAGTTATCTCTCAGAACTCTAAGCTCTTGCCAGTTAAGCCTGATACAAACTTGTGTGTCGGGGGTGGAGGGCAGGACTGGCATTACCTAGCAACTTATTGCAAACTCAGAACCCTGGGCCCAGGCTCACCAGAATGTGTGTTAACAAGGACCTAAATGACTCACGTGCACATCCAGTTTGGATAGCACTGCTCTAAGCTGTTCTTCAGAAGGACCTTATAGGACCTCCAGTGCTTTCCTTGGCATTTAAAATTAAATGAAGGACCTCCAGTGCTTTCCTTGGCATTTAAAATTAAATGAGTTGAGTCTTTTCTATTACTATCTTATATCAAAAAATAATAATAAATCTAGAATAAATCCTGATGGATTCTCCCCTCCCTTATGAGTTGTCAGCATTTTATAGGGGAAAAAAAAAGCAAACAAATAAAAATGAACAAATTACAAGATTTCCTACTCAAAGAAACTCATTGTTCTTGGTGGTCCCTGAATATAATCTATGATCAAGCTATCAGGCCAGGGGCTAGGCTGACTATTGAGAAACAGGAGGTTAGGAAAAATTTGAGATTTCTCTCCTGAGACTGAAGTTTCATCATTTTATAGCCAACTCTAATTTTTTTTTAAATCTCTTTAGGTTAAAGGTAAAATACATTAGGATATCAAGTTAAACACACAATGAAGACTTAATAGTAGAACAGCGTTAGTATTGAGATGAAATTGAACTAGCAATAGTGCATTTTCTCTGAATACCTTTCCTCTTAACACAATGAATTTTATGTAGAATGGTACTATATTTTAAGACAAAAGAATGTAAAACTAGTAGTTCTTGAGACAGAACATTGTATGGAAAAATAACATTAAATTAGATTTATATACAATATAAAATGCATATTTTCAGATCAAGTTATCATATTTAGTTATATTTTTATTGGTGTTTCCATGGAAAGTTCTGTTCCAAGAGAAATTTAACTTACTTGTTTCATTCAAAATAATGAAGTCCAGTTTTTTTGAGGGCATCTGGACATCCTGCAGCATTTCGTCCAAAGCTGAATTGTCTTCCAGGACTCTCAGTTCTAAACAAATGTTCAAGACAGCAATAATTCATTACAATGTGAAGAATCTGAATTGTGCAAAACAATAATGAACAAGTGGGCAATTCACTGATGGGGCTACAACATACTTCAGATTACAAGCTTCATGTTCGATGTCATTGTTAAAGACACTCTAAAGCCAAAGAAAATCTCACTACCTTAAATTCATATCAGTCCTATTTACACACACTTTCCTAAAAAGCAAATGAAGGGTGAAATATGAGACAATACCTTTATCATCGCTGCTGCTATGCAGAGTATAGAGGGGCAGACCAGGGCCTGTTAACATATCAGAAAAAATACGTTTCAGAGGAGTATTTTTTCTTTTTTTAAGAAGATAGCATACTTTTCAAAAATAGCATCTATTACCATTTAACTTTGATGGAATAAATATCATAGTAGATAACTCCTTAATGAGTATTAGCTGTTTTCCCTTCCTACATATAAGTGCAATTTATTACCGGGAAGGCACAGGGCTCTGGTTGCGTTCATTTCCTGAAGCAGGAAGTGAACCGCTGCTCCTGCTGGTGCCTTGGGCACATTATCATTCTTATGCCCAGTTTCCTCTTGTGTGCACTAAGCCATCCGGACCCAACCGGAGGAGAGCTGCTCTCCTTTCTTGCTTTAAATTCACAATCCTGCAATGACTTTAGCAGCTCTCAGGCCCCATCCCCTTTAGGGCGGAGATCTAGATCCAGGCTCACCTGGGGGAAGGGCGGATTTCCCTCCGGCTGCCCCCACCTGCTAAATCCTGGAGCCTAGCAGCACATCTGCATCGTGCCTGACTTGGATAAGCAATTCCTCTCTGGCATGCAAAAGTGTTCTCGTGAGCCACACAAATCTTAACTATTTATCCCAACTGTGGTAGTTGCAGAGTGGAAGATAATGTATAGAAAAGCTATTTTGTGAGCTATTTAATTTTGATGCGTTTGGATATTAATTTTTACACTCGGTCTGAACCACAGAAGGCATTCTCCTGACCTGGGTTTGAATCTGGCTTACCTGCTTAATGACTTAGGACACCATATCTATGCTTTAATATCCTCACATATAAAATGAGGATATTATCTTACATTATAGAGTTTTCTTAAGGATCGATCAAGCTCATGAATATAAAACTTAGCACAGTGCCTAGTATAAAACACATGCCCAAGAAATGGTGACTGAAAACAGCCTTGGTAAAGAACCATAAAGAAAAATATAACAGTAAAGAAAATATGCTAGTAAAGAAAGATTCGGAAAGTTGGTTTGGAGACCTCTTTTTGGCTAGTTCTTTTTCAGAATATCCAGATTCTGTCATTCCGAGAAGGAATCTAGCACAGTGTTTAATGGACGGCTTGGGAGGCAGAGGTCTGTGCTTGAATCCTGTTATACCTTTATTAGCTGTGTGACCTGTGGAAGTCACCTTGCCTCTCTCTCCTTGTCCAGGTTTCTTCATTTATAATAAAGAAAACAATAATAACGATAGCAATAGAAAATAGAGCAGTGAGCATATTGGGGGACCATCCACACACATTTTCTCATTTAAAGGGACAAGTGCATAAAATAATAATTTAAAAAACCACAATATGTATGTATATAAGGATGAAGTCCCTCTATTATATATAAGCTCTGAGGTGTGTTTTCAGTCTAAAGCAAACCTTTTGGTTAGAAGGGGAAGGAAAAGTGATTAACTCACCACTTAACCCGTGAATGAAAAGAAGAGTACTTATATAATTTCAAGAACTCCTCAGACTCAAACGTGGGAATTGAGCAGGGCACAAAGAATGTTTGCTATACTGGACCAAGAAAGGGAGACTTCAGGGATGGAGACACTGAGCCAGGAGGGTGGTAAGAAGGTTGTCGGGAAAGAGGAGGGACCGTCAGCTGGGGAAGTGGGAGGGGAGGGAAAGCCGAGAGCTGGGGCTGGAGGGAGCTACTTCAGATTGACACTGAGTACTCACTGCTGCTGCTCTTGCTTCCTGTCATTAGTTCAAACTTACCTGAACATCTCAGCTGATAGTACTTCGCCTCTTTACTAAATGATACAGAATAATATTGACACCTTTCTTGATGCAAGTTACAACTAAGACACGTCACTTCTGTGTAATTGTTAAGTTGGATTCTGTAAAAGCAACGGTAGAAATTAAGTGTTTGACTAAAAGATAAATGAAAGGAAGGAATTGAATAATGCCATACTGTAGTTTCAAAGATATCAGAATGCCAAAGCAATCCTCAAACACTTTTTAAATCAGATAAACACATAAATTAATTCATAATAACCTCAAACCTTCCATTGTTTAGAAATATCACAAAACATCTAATTAAGTCATTTTCTTTTGTTGGTATGTGGATTAATTTATAATGGAATAAAAGTGTTTGAGAACAATTTCAGTTTACGATATTAGTTAGGACAAAGCAAAAAAAATAAAAGTCCAAAAGTTATTCATCGGCTAAAAAGACTCAAGTCAACAACTTGACAGAGAGCTTACTTATAAAGATTTCTTCCTCCTGGCATTCCTTTATACTCATTACTAATGTAGTATCTGAGAAAAAAGCAAATGAAATATGGATTATGTTTTTAAGAAAAATCAAGTATACTCTATTTAACTCAACACTAAGCATTAGCGCTCATATGAGTGCCTGTGCATTAGTACCTGCCCTTCTTCTATCATTCTTCCCTGTCCCCTCACAGCCATTTCCCCCAGTCATCTCTAAAGAGGAGATTCTTTTTATTTAACAGACTGAAATATCTGAATGCAGAAATTATTTCCTTCATTAAAGTGACGAGTAAAAACTCAAAAGAAGTCTTTTGTAAGAAAAATAGGACTGGACAATTGGTCTGAAGTTGAGACCCCATTTATTTTTACTGTTTTTCATATTTTGATTTATAACAAAACTCCTAGATGGCAGCAGCCCCATGCTCTTGGGAGCGGCAGAGCCACTTCTAAAGAGAACCTTCAAAAACGGCCCAGCAGTGGCAGAATTCTTCCATGGTAAGACCGATAAAGAATGATAAACTTGCCTAAGATTCTAATGAAAATTAACATTTCCTTTCCCACCAACTCGTGCCGGTAGAAATTAAGTGTTTGACTAAAAGATAAATGAAAGGAAGGAATTGAATAATGCCATACTGTAGTTTCAAAGATATCAGAATTCCAAAGCAATCCTCCAACACTTTTTAAATCAGATAAACGCATAAATTAATTCATAATAACCTCAAACCTTCCATTGTTTAGAAATATCACAAAACATCTAATTAAGTCATTTTCTTTTGTTGGTATGTGGATTAATTTATAATGGAATAAAAGTGTTTGAGAACAATTTCAGTTTACGATATTAGTTAGGACAAAGCAAAAAAAATAAAAGTCCAAAAGTTATTCATCGGCTAAAAAGACTCAAGTCAACAACTTGACAGAGAGCTTACTTATAAAGATTTCTTCCTCCTGGCATTCCTTTATACTCATTACTAATGTAGTATCTGAGAAAAAAGCAAATGAAATATGGATTAATTATGTTTTTAAGAAAAATCAAGTATACTCTATTTAACTCAACACTAAGCATTAGCGCTCATATGAGTGCCTGTGCATTAGTACCTGCCCTTCTTCTATCATTCTTCCCTGTCCCCTCACAGCCATTTCCCCCAGTCATCTCTAAAGAGGAGATTCTTTTTATTTAACAGACTGAAATATCTGAATGCAGAAATTATTTCCTTCATTAAAGTGACGAGTAAAAACTCAAAAGAAGTCTTTTGTAAGAAAAATAGGACTGGACAATTGGTCTGAAGTTGAGACCCCATTTATTTTTACTGTTTTTCATATTTTGATTTATAACAAAACTACTAGATGGCAGCAGCCCCATGCTCTTGGGAGCGGCAGAGCCACTTCTAAAGAGAACCTTCAAAAACGGCCCAGCAGTGGCAGAATTCTTCCATGGTAAGACCGATAAAGAATGATAAACTTGCCTAAGATTCTAATGAAAATTAACATTTCCTTTCCCACCAACTCGTGCATGGTAATTGACAGCCTCAGCAAAGCTTTCCATTTTCTAAAGAGTAGGGCACGGACATGGACAGATAAAGTAGCCTTTTCGGGCCTTCCAAAAATTTACTGCCAGTTGAAATTTAACAAAATGCCCCTGAGTGCTAGTTCAGTATTCCAATACAGTTAAGAAAAAGAGGCTACAGCTCTTCTAAAGTAAAGCAGGTAAGAGCAAGAGGTAGAGCTGCTTGGTGGCAGAGTATCAAATCTGCTAAGCATATGTGAAAATCATTAAGGCTTCCGTATGTTACAAAGAAAAAAAGTACTGAACACATTCCAAACAGACTACTCTTTATTTGTAGGAGATTTTTCCCTACTTCTGGGCAAAGAGGGTGTGATTACGAGTATATTCACATCCTATCGATTATTAGAATACTCACAGGTAATCACTGGTAAGAGCTTGTATGCTGATAACTTCCCATGCTCCTTCTGTAATAAATGTGCAATCCTGATGGGATTTTTAAAATAAGAGGTTGATTAGATTCTTCCTCTAATCAAGGGTAATAGAGGATTAAATCATTTATATCAGGAATTTAGATAATCTCAGGTCTTTTTCTTGGGTCTTCCCACCCCATCCACTTACTCCAGATACGTCTGAGGAATTTGAATTAGTCTAATTATTTGTACACTTGACCGACTTTACCAAATGACTTCCACTACCAGTTAGTTTCATAAAAAAGATCAACCTGAAATAAATTATGTATGGATACTCACTTTCTTATCTATTTGGAAAAGACAAATGTGTTTGTAGCCCTCCGTATTGCTGATGATCTTATAGAAGCTATTCCCGTCAGAGGTAAAATGAGGTTCTGAAGGCTTAAACTAGAAAATAATGGAAAAGAAAAAACATAAGTTTCATCTCAGGACCAACTTTAGTTTTAGAAAGTCCTCCCAACACCTGTGCTCGAAACCATGCTTCATTTATCATTTACTTGCCAAATGAAACCAGAGTGTCTCAAAAGAAAATTCTCCTTATAGAAAAAACAGACACAAAGATCTAACTCCTAAGGAATTTTTCGTGAGAAGTAAATGAGAGAATGACCATCAAGAGGCTTACGTAGGACACTCAACACAAAGCAGTGGTTACTGTTATTCTTGGACATCTTCTCTCTTTGGAGGCTAACTCTATGACTTCTGGCTATAAGTGTGCAAAAATTAGCATTAGCCTTTCAATTTCAAGACGTAAATTTCCTCAGTGTCACAAATATGCTTTCTCGAAACAGGCTAATATTATGTTTGACTATTTCAGCAGTTTGGAAGCAGTTTGTAACTTGAGGGACATTTTCCCCTGTCTTTTAGACATATTTCTTTTTGAAAGTCAGACTTAGAAAGTCTTTAACCATTTCTGCACTAGATACCATAAGAAATGTATCATACATTTCAGTACAGAAACATACATAGAGTTATCATTTTATTATAAGCTTTCTCATTTTGCTAAATAGGATCAACAGTTTACAAAAAAAATAGTTGTATGGAAATACAGAATAAAATTTCCATTTTTTACAGTTTGATAAAAGATAGTTCTCAGAACATAATGTAATTTAAGCAGAAGAGTATCTACCCCAGCCTGAAAGGAATATGTCGCTTTACAACTTCGATTTCCTTACTGCATTTGAGAGCAGGTAGGAGATGGTCTTTTAAAATTGTTGGTTCATTTCACCCTCGATGTTTCCTCTCTCATCAGCTTCCATTTTGGGAACGAAGAAAAATGCTTCCTTGTTCTATTTAGTGATTCAAAGCGAATTCATTTATGGAGCAAGCTGAGGCGTGCAGTACACTTGGTGTTCTCATTACAGAGCTCTGAAACACATTCCCCTCTCTAGACCTGTGTTCACAGCCTTATCTTTTTAATACATTTCCCTGTTTCCCCTGGATGGAGTTGTGCCTAGTAGAAATGTGTGAAAAGTGGCATCTGTCTGGTTAAATACAGAGAGGAAAAAACATATTTTTTTCAAAGAGTCGTGAGGAAGTGTAGCATGTCTCTTGCCATGGAGGAAACCACTTTTCATGTTGGCAAACCTCTCCCCTCTGCCCAATCAATGCCTGAAGAAAAGGGACGTGTGAATGCTATCAGAGCTCCCAGCCCAGCTGAAAGGGGCCATATTCCTAGACTAGGGGGCCTCACATCAGTACCCCAGGAGATGCGAAATCCTGACATGTGTTGTGTCACTTTGTTTCTCTATTAAAAGGGGCTTAATAGAAATGGTCATAAAAATTAGGTGTGATTCAGCCTTTATCTTTCACACGAGGTGATGGAGTTCCTTCATCGACTTGCTTCATTTCATGGTCTGGCAGCCACGTGGTTAGTGATTCTGCCCAGAGTGTAGCTTGGTGGGAGTGAGAAGTATGAAAGTCTCTGAGGGTCATCGTGCTTTCCTGGATAAAACACTGTGTCTGGGGCCTAGCCAAGTGCAAACCTGCATAAGTATGATTTCCTCCAGAGAAAAATGCGTAATGGGTGTGGTATACATGCCGCTGAATTTCTGCTGAGTGTACAGTAGCCACATCTCCTCACTCATTTGCTCAGGCTGTGGATAGAAATCGTGTTTTCTGTTTCTAAGCACGTAAGTTCAAAGATGAGGTCAACAAGCACATTTAGCACCTTGACCATCTTTCAGCAATGGCTGCTTTTAACTTATCGGGAGCTACCGTTTGCCTAGACTATGTCTTTTATTTTGTCTGCTCTTCAGTGATGTTCCCCCGTCTCCTTACTTTTTCCAACTGAGTGTGTTATATGTTCTCTGTAAAAATATATCTCTACAGGGAGCATTTAAGTATTTTGAGAAACAGGTCAACTAATATCTATTATTAACAAATAACCTAGGGCTCTTGTTTGGTATACCTACATATTAAATAGCTCTGAGCGTCTGATTCATACTACAGAAAAATCCAGAATTCTTAAATACTTACTCTTCCAACCCAGCCAGTAGCACTAATTTCCAAGTGTTGCCGTGCCTAAAGAGGGGAAAAGACAGTGTTTCAAAGAGAAGTGCGATATGAATTGGATTCCTAGGCTCAGTTTGTGGTAACATAAGAAAAATTGCACTTATAATCAATTATTGAAAACTTCCTTCATTCATATACTTTTATCTATGTAAGTATTTTTTACATAATTACATTATATCATTTACCTCTCTTTCCTAGAGCTCTGTTCTGGGTCCATACCCACATCCTGCCCTAGAAACTCTATAGACATTTCGATTTAACATGCACACAGCTGAAGATAATGTCGTTATCCTTCCTCCATCCCCACCAGCTTGTTCTTACTCTTTCATTTTTCTCCTGGTTAGTGGTACCAATTCACCCAAGCCAGAGACCTGGGAATCAATCTAGACTCCTACTCTTCTCAGTCAACCCCCTCAGACCCTGTGATCTAGTCTGTGACTTATTTTGTCTTTCTCTACTGCTACTGCCTTAGTTCATGTCTTCTCATGCTTCCCTTGGTCCATTGTCCTCAACTCCCGGTTAGAGACCCTGCTGCTCTTCTCTCCTTCTAGTCAGCTCTTCATTCTGCTCAAACCTCAGCCTACCTCACTTGGTAATAGACAGCTGTAGCTCATTATGATCCTCTCTTATTTAAAATCATGAAATAGCTCCCCATGTCTTACAGGATAAGTCCAAACTCTTCAGAATAGCACGTGAGACTTAGTCTATGTCCCTACCTCAGTTCTCACCATTGTCCCTCTCCCCCAGCCTCCAGTCCCATGTACCCCAAGACCCTGCATGCTCCAAGGTATTCACACTGGACGCCTTTGCACAGCCTCTGCTTATAAGGCCCTTAGACCCTTATCTTTCCAGCATATGGCAACTTATTCCAGATGGCTCCAGGTCTCTCCCACATTGTTTCCCATCCCACTGAGCCTGTTCTCAGTTGAGTTGATAATTTTCCTTTGCTTTACATTTCCTGTACCCTTGACCTTGGAATGGTTTCACTGGCAGAAATCAAAGAGCTTGGGGTTTGCAGTTTGCGTTCTGGCTGCCCTGTGAGCTGAGTAAACTCCCTAACCTTACTGAGCCTCAGTTTTCACAGTGTGTGGCTACTGTGAGTGTCAAGTATTATTATTGTGTCAACTATTATTATTGATTTTCATAGTGGTATATTTTACTGGAACATGATAATTATTCAATGTTTGTTGCATAAAAAACTGAATGAGTGAATCAAGATACGAGTTGCCAAACTTTCTGAAGTGAGAAATCTGCCCTGTGCCAAATCAGGATGGGAGCAGCAAAGGAAGGTATGCAAGGTCCATCACTAGAAAAGCAGCCTACAAAAGTGTCCCTGATATATGCCAGCAAATCTCCACCAGGCTCTACCCTTCCTGAAGAGACTAGCTCTCAAAGGAGCTTTAACTCTGATCTACCAGCTTGGCTGGACTTGTGGTTTCCCAACTGGAAACACCCCCAATACTTCCAGGTTGAATTAACACTCTCATGTGCTCAGTGTTGCCACCCTCTCAGACTGGTAGTTATCTATTCAAATTCTAAAGCTATTTACTGCTTTCAGATAGCCGCAGTATGGTAATAGATTTGTGGCCTCTTGATATTTGTTTCGTTTCACATGTACTCCTCCAGTTGTTCCTAATTTCCTGTATTTTCTCTGTTGAAACGCACATCATTGACCTTGAAGCTCCTGGCCCTCTTGGACTTTTGAATTTTGAAATCAGATTCTATCTTCTGGATTTCCAATCACTACCCTTCCCAAGCAATAGTATCCATAACTATAACAGTATGAGTAGTGAGTGCAGGTGAAATAGATATCATCACCAGAGATCAGATTATCTAAAAATTAGTCAAGACTTACCCATTGCCTCAGAGTCTGATAAAGGCTCAGAAAGAATAGAAACTTAAACTTCATATCTTGATTCCTAACCATTCGTTCTCTCCCTGTTTTCATACATCCCTTCAATGATGACAGCTAGCTTTAGAAGAGGAACATCCCATTCAACCTTACCACTAAGCAACTCCAACTTCCATTAGACTCATCATAGTCACAAATATCCATGACTGAATAGTTCTGAATCCTCCGGAGCCACTGTAAAGAAATCCTTTCTTTGGTTACCCATGTCACGTCACACAAGTAGTGATCCCTGGAAGGAAGGAAGGGAGGAAGGAAGGGAGGAAGGAAGGAAAGAAAGAAGAAATGAGAGAATAATTATTTCCAGATCTTAGTACAAATAGACATTTTACTCAATGAACTGAATCTTAATGGGAATACAATTTTAAATGATTGCTGAAAGTGTTTAATACCATCGTGGCTGCTAAGAGGGTTCTATGGAAAGTAACCTCACAAGGTGATCTGATTGTAATTCCTAACTGGGCAGGTCATGGTAGGTGATCACACCCCAGACATATAATTTCTTTAGAAAAGGTTTATCTTTGCCTTAAGCAAGCCCTGGCCATTATTTTTGTGTATCTAGGTTTACACACTTTTGTAATGCTGCTTTTCAGACCCCTCAGAAGCAAAACCACTCTCAAGAGAGCACATAATTTTGTTAACTATCCTGTAATCCAAAGGGACCCCGCTTTCTTTCCACCTTCATGTAATCTTCCATACATTCCCTCCTTAATTCCAAAAGCATAAAAGAAGCTGCAAACTGCTGTTGTCCAAAGCATTTTTTCTCATTCTGTTGAGATCTTGCTTCCAGGCATATCCTCTGTTTGGCTCAAATAAATTTTTAAAAAAATTCTCTACAGGTTTGGATGTCCTTTCATCGACACCATAATATTTTACCTTTTCTTAAAGCTTAAAGTGTAATTTAATTTTAAATGGAAATTGAAATAAATCCAACAGGGGGAAAAGCAGCTAACATTATACCGTGGTTTAGCATACGTGATTCACAGCATGGCTCGGTATTTGTCAAGTCCACAACTTGGCCTTTGGTGGAGCCAAGGAGTCAAAGGTGACATTTTCCCATCTCTTTTCTGCTGTCTTCTGGGAACATTACCATGAAGCCTAAGACACTGGTTAAGATTTGAGTATTTTTCTGGTAATTTGACGTGCTACTCTAGAAAATTCTTCTCATTAGGGTGAAACTACAGCTAACCCTTTTCTCAACTTCATTTTCAAAGGGGAAAAATTGACTCACATCTCTACAAACTCTGAAAATTAAGTAATTATATTCTAAAACTCTTAAGAGTCAAAACATGAAGCATGTGAAGAAATTAAGAAACTCTTTGGTATTTTAACATAAACGTATACAAATGGAGATATCTCTAGCAATGTACCCTCCTCCCACACATACCTTTAAAAATGTTTGGAACTACATTTTGATTTGTATGGAATTTTGAAATGCACGGAATTCATAATTTACTTTTCTGCTAGCCTCCCTAACACTATTTGCTCTGGATATTTTATTTTATTTGCTCCTCCTGTTTCTCAGTGTGACTATTCTTAAATCACTCCTTTCCACTGTTTGATCGAAGCCTTGCTTCCTTTTGTTGAAAGGATTCAAAAGGAATCTTTTCTTCCCCCATCTTGCAGTCTGGCCCTATGGCTGCATTCCCTCCCCCACAGATGCTCTAAACCCTCCCTTGCTCTTTTTCCTTCACAGGCTGTGCCCATCCCTCTTCTTGTCATTTTGCTCTCCTTGCTTGACTGCAAGTTTTCTGAGGCAGGGTCACAGCTGTCTTGTTCACAGGATATCCCCAGGGCCTAGCAGAATACCTGGCACAAAACAGGCAATCACTAAAATTCTGTGGAATGTAGCATTAAAGAAAGGAAAAACATCCTATCGTGTCCTTTGTGGCCAAATAGCTCTTTCCTTCCTCAGAATTCAACAGATCACTTCCTGTCTCCACTCCCTTCACAGATACTAAATCAAATAGCAAATATTAATGGAGCACTTAGGGTGTATCGGGTTCTGGATAAAGCATGTTAAACCCCTCACCACTTCTCTATCCTCCTCTTATAGCTGGGGACACTTAACATGTTCATGTACCCAGGTGTACCTGGGCCTCTAGGCTGTTTCCACTGCAGGTGGCAGATATTGAAAGAAGACTAAATCTCTTCACTTAGTAGCAAAGCACCACATTCCCACAAGTAGGGATTCCTCTCTATTTCAGTCTTTTCTCTTGCTTATTAAAATCCCATATTCACAATCTAGTCTGCACGGCTGTTATTCCATGAACACTTTCTGAAGTTTCCCAGTTGCCCTGCTTTGTTCTATCTGTCATTCAGTCTGAAAGAACTGCCATACTCCTTTAGGTCTTACTCAAATATCCCCTGTCCATGATGCTTTCCTGGAAACACCCTCCTTCCACACTGCTCTTATCAGTCTCATGGTGCTTATCTCGAGGTGACAGGCCTCAGGGTCTGAGTGGGAATGCTTCTTTGCATGCCCAGCAGCAAGGGTACCCCATCTAGCCTAACTCTTCTGTATTGTGGCCAATACAAAGGAATTAAATGAATTAAATGAAATAAAGTGGAAAGGCAAATATTTCTGACAGGGAATAAATACTTGGAAAAGGAATGCAAGAACAAAATGTGAAACAGAAAATAAACATTTTTGAAATAAATTTTCTAGTCCAGGGGTCAGAGAAGTTTTTTGGTAATAGACCCAATAATAAATATTTTAAGCTTTGTGGGCCACATGCTCTCTGTCGCAACTACTCAACTCTGCCTTTGGAGCACAAAAGCAGCCAGAGACAATAAGTAAATGAATGATATGGCTGGGTTCCAATGAAATGCTGAGATTTGAAGTTCATACAATTTTCACAAGGCATGAACTATGATTCTTCTTTTGGTTTTTTCTTCCCAAACATTCAAAACTGTAAAAACCATTTGTACTCTCAGATTATACAAGATGGTCTAGGAATAAGGGGCAGGATTTGCCCAGTGGGCCCTGGTGTGCTAACCCCTGCTCTATACCAGTAGTTCTTATCATTTTAGGTCAAAAATGCTTTGTAAATCTGATGAAAATTATGTACTTCTCTTTAGGGAAAAAAAAAAAAGGATCTCCATACCCATGAACACAATCTCCAAGGGTTCCATAGACATCCCTTAGGAACCTGGGCTCCAGAAAGAGCCTTACCCTTTTCCAAAGTGGCTTGGTTGGGGCCAGGTGGTGGGGGCTGCAGTAAGGAAAGGACAGACCAGGGGCGAAGAAAGCTTTTACACATGATTAGTGTGTCACCTGGTACTGAGTACTTTATCTACTAACAGCTATAAATTATGCTTTCAGGTTCAGAAATCAACCATAGAAAAATAACTCTT